CTGAACCACTGCAGACCAGTGTTAATACCAATCAGAGAATGTTTTGGGATTTTAAGTCTTTTTAAACCTTACCAGTACTTCATTAATTATTGATTAACACACTGATGGGTAATTCTGATTCCTTTTAAGATATAAAAAGCTATACTGAAACACATTATACTGGAGAAGTTAAAATAGCATCAGTATTAAATCTGTGTAACACAGACTACAGTTTTGTGTTATTCAGTTCAGGTATTTATGCATGAGAGGACTGTCTTTCACTTATTTTGTCAGTAAACAAAGACGATTTTTTTTTTCTTATGTGGGTACTTACGCAATTCAGTGTAGTATTCTCTGGAAAATGTACATCTCTAGCTGGAATGGATTTAGGTCAGATGCTTAAAAACTGTTAATATACAGCATGTTCCATTTACCTTAGCGATCTCATTTATAATTTCTTGGTACTTAGTTGATGAAGACACTAGTCCTGCTTGTTCCAATGTCCGGAGATTTCTCTGAATTTTCCTTTTCTTTTGTTCTATTGGTAGCTGTCCATCTTCGAAAATAGACTGACTGTGCTTCATTTTCTCTGGAGTTTTGGAATTTAAGATGGCACGCTTTTCTGCAAGTTTCAGGTGCTCAGATTCCTGTGTAGAAAAAAAAAAAACCCAAACAAAAAACCGCAACAAAAACCACCCATAGAAATCCAGAACAGTTATTTTCCAGCTCATTATAACAGTTAAGTATTCAAGCACACTGAATTCTCAAAGTAGGTTATCAAGAATCAAGGTGGAGGCTTTATTTATGTCCTCTTTCCACATGATCTGAAAGTGCTTCATTTGTTATGCCTTTTGACATACCTTAAGTAACTAATCACAACACCTCCATGTGTTTCAGTTAATCAAAGCATGTCTAAAATCAGACGGACAAGTCAATGGCTTCATTTAGTTGTGGGACAATGGCCCAGATCTCACAGGTGCCTCCTACATACACACACACACACAGAGGTAAGCTAAAATGTGCACATATTGAGATGTAGCTTTGTGTGTCAGTATCTACAGGGAAGACTTCAACTGGGAGCTCTTCCCACTCAATTCCCATACTAGGGATAACAGTAGTTCCCCAGGCAGATGTTTGCTTTTATTGCTTAAGCAAATAAACTAGGTGTCAGGGAGCTTGAGTTAGGCACTGAAGTTCATGAGAAAGAAAAAAATCGAGCAGAAGGATTAACTTCAGGCTATTTGATTGTGTTATAACAGGATAGAAAGGAACCTGTTCCAAAAAGAAAAAAAAAAAAAAAAGGAGAACATTATCACTCTGCTAGGTGACAACAAGACACATTTTTTCTTTTCCTTTGACGCTGTTACCAATTATACAGTCAAAGAAAATCTGTAGGTCTCACATTTTGAAGGCTTTAGATTTGAATAGTCCAAAACCTGCAACATTGCTATTAAGCAGCGGAGAAAGCTGTCAGAGACCTGTTAAGACTTTTGAACAGCTGTAATAAAGCAAGCACTTTCCTCAGTCTTCAGGTACAACATAGCACTTACCTGTTGCACAGTGGCTGGTGTTTCTAATATTTCTAAGAGCGTATCCCCTGGCTGTGTTCGTATCACATCCACAATGAGTCTTTTGGTCCTTTTAGAAACAATATTATGGGTATTACATAACAGTTGTCACTGAATCACTTGTGTATTTAATTTCTTCAACAGTAAAACAAGCAAGATCCAATTTATTATGGATACTTAATAATGTTTGTGTGCCCTAGCTTTTTGTTTGAGAGCTTTCATTAATAATGTTGAGCATCTGGCTTCTACACAGGTCTGAATAGAGAAATACACATCCATACTTCCCCCCCTTTTATTTTAGAAAACAGTTAACCAACTAGCACAGTAAACCAGTTACTGTTAACATGATAAAAATTCAAGCAACAACTCCCATGTGGACTTTAATTACGATCATGAAAAAGCAGCAAATAGGAACATAATCTTTGCAAAGCCTAAGCTATGCATGGTTCCATTAAGGGTCATATTTACTGAAAAAAAGTACAAATGCATGCAAAACTTACGAACTTCTGAAGCAATATTACATCCACCACAATGCATTTATGGACACTAGTTAAGGGCAGATAGTTCTCTAGTGGCAGCAGACAAGGAGCATTTCCTTGCTAAAAAGGGGAAGCTGCTACATCCTGATATGTAAACCAGTTCTTTTTTTGGGTCAGAATTTATCTCATTCCTGCTGCCTCTTCATCCATAATACTTCCAAGAATGTCCTGCTACAGAATTCTGTTAATTTATAGGACACAGTTACAAATGAGATATAGCTCATTATTCTTAAAAGTTAACAGAAACTTGAAGATGCAGCTTAAGTTTCCCAGGAAAATATCTAAGTATGACCAAGGCTTCTGAGATAAAACATCATGACTAGGTTTAAAATGATCATTTACCTACATAAAGTTGTGGATTTTGTTGATGTTTTCAGGACAAGAAGTTCTCATAAATGCAATGAAATGGGACAAAAGGTTTACTCATACACAGAAAACATTATAGAAAACCAGTGAGTATTTGGGTGCGATCTAAGCTTCCATGGAAGGACTGCTCCTTCTCTATTAGAAGGTGACCTGCTAATCCTCCTGGAAACTAGTCTGATCATTCAGAGCTGCTGTTAACAGCACTGAGCAGTTCTAGCACATTGCTAGAAGGTCTACCTGTTAAATGTTAAAAGGACTGCTGTTAAATGTATTTTTAGTTCACAAACTGTCTTGTTGGGTGCGATCTAAGCTTCCATGGAAGGACTGCTCCTTCTCTATTAGAAGGTGACCTGCTAATCCTCCTGGAAACTAGTCTGATCATTCAGAGCTGCTGTTAACAGCACTGAGCAGTTCTAGCACATTGCTAGAAGGTCTACCTGTTAAATGTTAAAAGGACTGCTGTTAAATGTATTTTTAGTTCACAAACTGTCTTGGAATACATTTTGGTTTAAGTGGAAAGTTTTGAGCAGATGAGTAACTACAAAAAAAAAAAAAAAAAAAAAACAAAAAAAAAAACCAAGAAAAAAAACAAAAAGAAAAAAAAGTAAAGACCAAACCCAAAACCACACACAAAAAAACCCAATCAGAAAAGCTTCCTAAAGTTGGCTCACTTGGGCTACATCAGGACACTGCTGGCTTTCTCTGCCTGACACAGCTTGTGTCAGTGTTCATTGGTCACCACTGCATTCTACGTTAATGTATGTGGGATGACATTGCTATTTTATGCAATGCCTTAGCAACAGGTGCTGATATGGCTGACAAGACATGAGGCTTTGTCGTGGTTCAAACCCAGCCAGCAAC